GGTAAATTACCGTAAGTTACCATGGTAGGATACCAAATACTCATTTGAAAGTCCGTACATTATCAGAAAATTTCGTATTAGTAGGCATGAAGCACGGATACTTTTGGAATAAAGCATAGATTACTTTCACGGTAACTTACAGTAACTTACCATTTTGGTAACTTACAGTAAATTACCGTAATTTTATTGCAGCAAATTATTTGCTATGAACTTTGTTGGCTAGTTTGCTTAATGCATTAAAAATCTAATTGAAAATATGATTCGAGTTACCAATATTCTTCATTATTTTACTATGCCATTTATTAATCGTATGTATGTGTGTTCATTCAGTTTTATGAACAGTACATTATCAAACATGTAGTAATAGTCACGTTAAATTGAGACAAGATTTTAATTGTATGTGCTCACACGTACGTACAGAATATGTTAAAAATGGACAGTGCATGACGAATAAGGTCACGCAGACCAATCAGATCCAAGATTTTGCCGTATAAACCGTACACTACGTGACTTCATCACTCCGCTTGAGAAACAGATAATTTAGAAATTCCCGGAAAATCAAATCCGGCCACTTAATTGTTAACCATAACAGAATTAACTTCGTTAAAGTAATTATTTACTAATTTTAAGTAGCTTAAAGATATTAAAATTTGAATGCTTACCAATTTTGCTAATGCAAAGAAATTTTATTTCGCTAAAGGTTATTAATATGTATGTATAAAATTTATCAAAACAATTATTATTTACGTGTATATTTAGACATCTATAACTAATTCTGTTTTTTCTGCTTATTCGGCGGAAACTTCGTTCCTGCTAATCCTCAACGGATCAGATACTATTATTACTCCTATTGTATAACTAGAAAAAAATGCACCTCTCGCAATTTTACCTTAACGTTAATCCTCACCTAACCCTAACGCTAACACCCCTAACCTTCATCTTTATCTTTACCCTAATACATATATTATTAAAACATAGGGTATACTCAGTGCATGATAAAATATACGTGTAAATATTTAAAATAATAAATATTTAATTCTGTATTTTGATCAATAAAAAAGCCTTTGAAAAAATACTTTATCTTAAATAACTTGTAAGAGAGAGGCGTTGAAAACCAATTAACAAAATACTGTAATTCTATTGGTTGTAAAAAAAAGCACTGGCATTGATAATTAAGTCGATCGATTTTTTAAAAAAATCGAGAGAAAATTTCGGAGAAAATAGATTATGAATACTGGAGGAATTTAGAACATATATATTTAATATACTTGGCCGACTTAGATGGTCAAGTCAATAAATTTGTATCGACTACAAACACTAATTTAATTGGTTAATAATAAATTTTTAAAAACAGAAAGACTCTTTATGGTTTATTGTAAGAGATTATAAAAATTGGATAAAAAAATAGGTTATGATAATGTACAGAATCGTCGACACTTGGAATTTTGTAATGATAATATCCTTGGAATATTAGGCATCAACGGAAATAGAGTTTCCGCTTGTACGTACGCACATTGTCCATTATTCCCATCTTCAGTACCGTTGGCCACTGCATACAGTATCCCCCGAAAAATAGCATCCTTCTACATAAAGTACCTTTCTCCACCAATGAGATTGCTGGATTCGTGGATAGTGCCCGGTATTATTCATTTTAAATGAAATTCTTGAATAAGGTTGGGTACTGTATGCAGTGGCCAACGATAATATTGATTATGGATAAAAAGTTTCGTAATAGTCCGACATATTTATAATATTTAATATTTTATACAAATATAAATAAAAATAATAATTTAACCAAAAATAAATAAATTACAACGACATGTTTATCGCTTCATCTGTTCCTTCAACATATATCCGTTTAAGTCCAATTAATTTACAGTCAGACTCGTTATAGCCACTCTAAATATAGTCACAACCTTGTTATAATCACACTATTTTTTTTGATCTAGCTATTATAAAACATAGACCTTCAAACCACAACTTTTAATAACCAAAATTTTGTTTCCCAACCTAGTGATTATATCAGGTCTGACCGTATATTTCTTGAGGAATAGCCATTCCTAAACTCTTATATTTTTCTGATAATTTCTTAAACGCATGAGGATGTTTTTTCTGATGTGCTTTTATCAACCAACGTGAGCCTTCAGTTAAATCCTGTCGAACTCCATGCGCACCATTAATCAATAAATCCCCATAATTAAACATTGCATTTATATTTCCGCGAACTGCTGCCTTTTCTAAATACTCTATAGCAATTTTATCATTTTCTGCACTTTTTTTAACACCTTCTCCACTAAGTAAAGCCACACCATATCTAAATTGTGCGTCTGGAACATTTTTTTCTGCAGAACGACGAAAATATTCTACCGCTAATTCTTTTTCTTGTGCCACTTCATGATCACCTGAAATTAAATAATATCCAACATAAAATTCCGCTGCAGCATCTCCATGATCTGCGTGATATTTGAAGATTTTATAAGCTTCACCATATTTTTTTTCACCATGTAACCTCTTGGCTTCATTAATATCCGGAAAATCAGGTTTAACTTCGAGAATTTCAAAAAAGTCATCTTCCATTATGTTTGATTCAGATTGAATATCGGATTCTAATGAAGAAAGTACTGAATCATGTCGAATATGCATGATTGATTCAAGATCAGTACTATTAGTCCTTTGAACTGAAGGTCTAACAAGAGCTTTTAATTCTCTAAACATCGCATCAGCAGTTGGTCGCTGAATTGGTTGTGGGCTCCATCCTTGTTTCATTATCTTTTCGTAAGCCTCAGGTGTACCACTTACTATTGGTGGTCGATCTTCTTTTATCGTAACACAGTTAACCAGCTCTGGTACGTTGGTAACGTCTGAGAAAGGCATTTGTTGAGATGCCAGCTCCCAAAGCACAATTGAAAAACTATCAATTAAATTAATGTTAAAACTCTTATAAATTATTTAGGTTAATATGTTTTATTTATATAATAATATACCTATATATATCGCATTGCTTGGAATAGGGGGTGGCAGCATAATTTGCAAGTTTTTCGGGTGAAAGCCACCTGAAATGTGGAAATAATAGGTGTTAATATTATATTTATTTTTATATTATTATATACTTTATATAATATAGTATGATAATTTGAGATAACAGTATCTCAAAATTACCATGCTATATTGGTATTATAGTTCGGCGGCCATTGATCATAAATTATACTATTTATGTTTTTTTTTAAAACCTCTTTAATTCGTATGGTGCAATTATGGATGACGCATGCATCATGCAAAATAACAAGCATGAATGACGAAATAAAAAGAAAGTGATTTATAACATAAATGGTGTAATACTCATGATCAATAGTGGCCGTGCTATAATATTATATATTATTATCTATTACCTGTATATTAACATAATATTTTTCATTGGCATTGTATAATCGCTTACTTTACGACTTGAGCTAAAATTGCTTATTTTTGCCGTTAACTTTTCCGTTAATAATATATTGTGACTAAAACATTTAAAGTTATAAAAGTTATTATTAAATGATTTAAAAATGCATTATATATATGAAAAATATAACAAACCTTCTTATATCATGATGTAAAATGTCACAGAAATGACAAAATGCTAAACCACTTGCGATCTCGGAAGCTATCCTTAGTTTAAAGTCCCATTCCAAGTCCGGAGTATTTCTCAAGTATGCGTTGAGATCTCCCATCTCTGCCCATTCCGAAATAATATATAATTTACCGTTAACCTGAGTTGTGCCATAGCTATACAATAAATTGTTAATTTTTTATTATTATTAAAGCATATATATAATTTCGTAATGACTTGTAAAATAATATAGTATAACATACAAAGTTATTATATTCAAGCAATTTTTCAATTCAGTAAGAATTGAGACCTGCTTTTCAATTTTTTCAATTTTTTCAGCTTGATTCTCATTCGCACTATTATCTGAACCTTTTAAAGTCGCGATATATGCGATCTCCTTTTGAGCAACTGGCTGTACTCCACTCATGATTTTTTTAACAATCTGTCCATCGCCACGTTTCACTTCCTTTCCGTTTTCTATATGATCTGTAATTTGTTGTCCGGAAATTTGTGAATTTTTAAAGATTCTGTCTGCTTCAGTACTTTTATCGTTGGTAATGGCTAATTGAATCACGTCTATTTTATTACCGAGTGCATTAAGTTTCTCGGTATTATTCATTCCACTTTCAAATATGTCCTGCATAACTTCTTCTATGACTTGAAGTGATGTTTTAATATCAGCATGGAATATTCTTTGATCGTCTTCAATATCTCTATTCGTTCGAAGACATGTCGATAGTCCTAATTGTGAAACTGCTGAATCGAATTCTTTAGTAATTTCATTGTAATTATTTTCGATCTATAATTGAATTATAATGAATAATTAGTGTAAATATTAAAAATTTTCGTCATTATAAATAAATAAATATATATATATATATGTTAATTAAAATTACCTCGCGAGCAGCAATTAATTTCATAAATGGCGAAGACTTGCTAATTTTATCAATGAAATTTTTACATTTTTCTATCGAACGAACATAAGCTCTTAAAGCCAGGTCATTTTCATCTTTTATACTAATTTTGTCAAGCGCCTGGTTTGCAACACGTATGCGATCAGCTAATCTATTACAAATTGTTTTATTATGCCCTGCTCTTTCAGTTAAATTAATTATTTCTTTAAATATTATAGCAGCAAGAGCAATTGGTGGGAGTACCGTGCCAGTGTTTATGAGAACGTCTGCCACTATCTTAGAACCAGAAACTCCAGTGTTGGGTTCAGACATTTTTTTTTTGTTATTTATTCTTTTATTTTATCTTTATTGGTTTGTTTTTTTGGAGAAAACTTTTTAACTTTAAACAAAAGGCACTTTTTTTAATATATTTAAGATTTAATTCCACTCTCTTTTAATAATATTATATATATATATATATAATAATAATAATCATTGAAATTTCTTTTTTTTCTTATCGGTAAAGACTTCCGAGAGTTACGCCTTACTAGAATAAATGCGCAATCTTGTATAATGAAATTCTTTAATATATATAAAATAGGAAGTAGAACAAAGGGACTAAATAAGGTTTGTGTTGTGTTTGTGTCACTTTCTCTACTGCCTATCTGAATATGGAATTTTCAATACATTATGTGTTTGTCATAAAACGTTAGGCATTTTTATATTGCAGTTTTTTTACCTTTTTAATAATTTATATAGAAATTTTGACCTGTGAACTCCCTTATCTGGATACGTACGTTAACATATCTAGATTTTATGAATGTGAAAACGGAGACAAATGTTCGATGATGTTCGTCTGTAACCAAGAAAACCTTTTAAAACGCTACCATGTGACTAAAAGGTGGCAAAATTTTAATTGTTTATGTTTATTATGTGAACCATCAAATTTGTGTCATTTATACGTCTAAGCCACAGTGTAAAAGTCATTTGTGTGTTGATTGTTTGTGTGGCGACATGTTTAGCGTCAGCAAACAAGCAAAGATTCATGAAAAAAGAAGTTTTTATAGCGTTATAGACTTTATCCCAAACTACAAAGTTATAAATTGTTTTCTTTGCAGATTGTGCTTATAGCAAGATTCTTTACGATTTTAGATGTATTAGATGACTCGCGCTATAGTCATTTATGACTTATGAAAATATTATACAGTTATATGTATGATGATATTCAATTGGAGAGTTCGACTATCTAATGCGACCCCGAATAACCAATATGTGATCATGTCACGTTATTTATTAATTAGTAATGAACGTTTCTATTTGCATCGCGTTTAGTGATGGGCCAAATTGATCAGACATTAAGCTTGTATTTTTTTTTTTTGCGAGTAAATAATAAAAATTTAAGACCAACAAATCTGTAATTCCAACCAATTAAATTAATTAAATCAATATAACTCACGAAGCATTCTATTTTTCACTAAGGTATAACGGTTGTAATGGTTAGATGGTCCACGTACTCTTACATAATTAAACTCATTAACCATCAATGTTCGCAAACCATCCAACAAGATCGCAGAAAAAAGAACCAAACTCCTCTTCTCCAGTTCTTTAATATTAACTAGTTTATCGAATGGAATCCATTCAATCACTCTATCTTATGCAGACTTAAGTTGAAAAGCTTGCATGCAATCATTAATATTCTTACCATCTTTAGTTACTATTTCAGGAGCACATTATAAACCACCATACTTCATCTTGTTATATTCGTTATAATCAGGGTTGGCACGGACCGGCCAATGGTCAAGCTTGACCAGACCAGTTTGACCAATTTGACCAATTTGACCAATTTGACCAGTTGGTCAAAGGGTTTAGTATTGGTCAAATTGGTCAAAGGGTATTTAAATATATACCGTATTCCTCCGAAAATAAGCACTCACCGAAAATAAGCACCCCTGGCCTGCATTATAAAAAATTTGGCCTGAATTATAACTATCTTGGCCAACATTAAGTGCAAAAAAGGGAGGAATACGGTAGTATATATATGCATATATATTTTTATATATATTTACTTTGTATATTAAAGTTATTTATTTAATAGACTAGGCTATTTGACCAATTTGACCTGACCATTTGACCAATTTGACCTGACCAGTTTGACCAGCGAATTTTTGTTTGACCAGTGATTTGACCAACCCTGAACTTAATATAATATTTATGTTTAGTTAATTTATTATTTATATAAATATAAAATTTATGCAAATTTTATTTATATTTACACAACATGCCCGAAAAACTTCCCAAATTTCTAATTTAAACTTTAAAGCCTAATTTTAACTTTAATATTTAAATTAAAAAATTTTGAAATTTTACACAAATCTATATAGAAATCTATATATATTTATATAAATAACTATGTAAATCTATATTGGGCTTATAAAGATTTATAAATTTAAATAAAAATTCTATATAACTTTATGTAAAAATTTTATATAGATCTATATAAAAATGTATTTTATAATATAGGATTAAAATTAGGGTAAAATTACAAAAGAAATAATTTTATTAGTAATACAATAGGAGGTTACCTTAGTAAAATTTCAAGATATTGACTAATTTTTTCTTTAAAATTTATATTAGAATTTATTTAAATTTTTTTTAATATTAAGGTGAGTATTTAGATCTGGAATCTGGAATGCTTTATTAGTTTTTAATATATATTATATATATGGGGGTGAGTTAGTAGAAATGAGACAAATTTATTAAATAAATTTGTCCCATTTCTACTAACTCACCCCATATATATATATCTATATTATTGTATATATTGATTATTTTATTTAGAAATCTAAGACTTTAATCTCTAATACCCAGTTCTTTCTTCAAAACTAGAAGAATATTTATCTCTATATTAAATCTGCTAAAGTGATATATATATTTACTTATACTTTCAGTAACTAACACATGGTTTTGTCTATACTAGAAGTTAGAACTAACTATTAAACCTTTATCTGTTACTTACTAATACTCTTTTAAGTTTGATAATTAGATCTTGGTACCTACTTTTGGCTTTTATCCTTTCACAAACCTTTTATTAGTCTCTCTCTTTGCTACTAGCTATTTTTCTAAAAAACTTAGCTCTAGATGCTTTTAATCTATCTCTCTTTGATATATACTTTTAAAGCATATTTTTTTTTTCTCTGGCTAATACTTCTAGCTGTTCTTAATATATATTAATTAATAGTAAAGCCTTTTCTTCTTAACTTCTAATTCAAAGCTAGAAAAAGTAGAGCCTTTAACTTACTAGTTTTTCAAGTTTATCTATTAGTATTAGACTAGTGGTAGTTGGCAATATTTTTTTACTTAAAGATTTTTGTTACTCAATTAATTAATTTTAAAGTTTACTTCCAAATTTGGTTTTTTGTAGCACTATTAAAAATCCTTACTATTTTTATACTTAGTTTTGCCAAGCCAGTTTTAGATCTTTAAGCTTTTATTTAGTTTTATATATTTTTAAAAGTCTTATTATTAATATACTAGTTTGTATTTTTCTTTAATCCAAGTGCTATACAGATACTTTAGAATTTTCTAGTACACAGAATATACTAGTATAACTAAAGTTACAGACTTTAGAACCCAACTTAGTAATAAAAATTTATTACTATATTATTAATGAGATTCAAACTTGATACTATAGTCAAGCTAGCTTAAAAGTACAATATTACTACTACTATACTAAGTCATTATACTTTTATATAATTATATATATATAATTATTAATATATAAAATTTGTATAAAATTTTTATCTAAATTTTTATTTAAATTTTTTTTTTTTTTTTCTGCAGTCTTGCCTTAACTATTTATTAGTACTCTAAAGTATTGTGGTTACAAGTGTATATATATACATTTACAACTATCTAATTATTATAGATAAGACTTACCTAGTTACTAACTTAGTACCTATGTGTAACCTGCTATATGAGATTTTACCTCTTTAGTAACCGCTCCTTTTGACCAGACCAATTACTAATTCACCGGATGTTCCAAAACCTTATTATATAGGGTATCAGTAGAAACCAAGCAAATCGAAAATTTTTCAAAAATGACTTTTTTTATTTAACTAATATAAAAATTAATGAAGAACATTTTTGACTTAGTAGTGGGCTTCATATTAATTAATAAAAATTTGAGATATTCGAGTTTAAATAATTTGGCCAGAAATAGATCATCCAATCTTAGTTATATTGAAAATGATCATCTAATCTTAGTTATATTAACAATAGAAATTACTATCTAGAGTCTACTGACCGATTTATGTCATACAATTAATGATCACCTTGATCAGATAATGCCGTAAACAAGGTCGACTAGATTGGGCTGTCGATCATTGTTTATGTGAGTTTGTATAACACAACACAAAAATCACGTTATCTTAAAAACTCAAATTTGTCAATTTGCTTGGTTTTTACTGACGTCTCCCATATATACCTCACTATATATACTACTGTACAACGTCTACTAGCCAACTTCTACCCCTCAGTACTTATCACATTACTCCTACAGTCTCAGATATTACCAAATTTAGATGATACAGATCATATCTTTTTTGTACAATTAGAAAATTCTATTTAAGTTTATTTTGATCTATGATAATCTTTAGGGCTAAATTTGTGGCTAATCATCTTTTATCTTTGTATTTGGTAAACAACTACCTTTTAAAGCTCCTGGGATCATGCGGGATTCCTGGACTATATAGTCACAGGACAATCTATATTAAAATTAATTCGAAGATTTATTATTAAATAAATTTTTTTTAAAAAAAGATAAAAATACTATGTTTTTTAATTCTAGAATAGTCTTTTATTAGTGATAGGCTGATTTCTTTATTTAGTAATATCTGAGACTGTCCTAATTCATTTATTGTACCACTTCCAAATTGGTGTCTCTTGAGTGGGCACCCTTGATGCTTCCAGTTTGGTATCCTCAGGATGTTACTCTAAGGCCTAGTTCGTATCTCAAGCCAGGTATAGAACCTGCTGCCGCAACTAGGATGTTATTTCATAGTTCTTAGCATTAATATTGTATACTATCAAATTAGGCTACCAATCTTTCTATAGTACTCCTTATTGGTATAGTGATACAGGTATTTGGATCCTTAGACGAAAGTTAAGTACCTCATTTAATTACTGTTACAATCCAATAACTCGGAATCTGCACCTCTGCTATGTATCGTCATAGACTCCCATATAGGTTGTGCAACTATTACTCCCTAGCCTGTCTTTATTTTTGTATCACCGGATCGCCTGCTTCTATACTTTCAGGGTTTCTCTTAGCCGGTTTTTCTTGTTTTCTTGTGCCAAAGGTGTTCTATATTTGGTAAAGCCATTATTTTACCACAGCCTCTTACTATATTCACTGCTTCTTTTACCACTTCTGGATATACCGCATTCAGCCGTCCTCCCAATCAAGATCCCAATGCCACCTTAGGGTTGTTGGTGCTACTTTGCCAATCGTAAATTTATACATACAGCCTTCTGCAGTAATACCTTTCGTGATCTATGTAACACATAGTGCCCAGTTTTCTCCATGGCTCGAGCTCCTTTCAAGAATTCTTTATCGGCCAAATATGTACATCACATGGTCTTTATCTAAATTTTACAGTATATAAAAATTATATAAATTTTTATTTTTTATTTTATTTTTATTTTTTTATATTTAAGATAAAATTTTGCTTATATCTTTATTAAGTAATTTACTAGTAATTTATATAAGAAATAATATATAAAAAACTAAATTCATGGAGTTAGAGTCTTGTAGCCTAGTGGTCTAGACACCTAACTTTCCACAAATAAGGTCGATGGTTTGATTATAGCTGGTGGTAATTAATTTAATTAATTATCTCTGTAATTTTTAAGAGCTTTTAAATGTAAAACCTTGTGGTGGTAAAACCATGTGATGTATATATTTGATCTATAAAGAATTTTTGTAAAAAGCCCTAAACCATGGAGAAGTCTAGGCACTGTATGTAACATGGGTCACAGAAGGTTTATTGCAAAAGGCTGTGTATGTGAATTCGCAATTGGCAAGATAGTACCAACAACTCTAAAGTAGTATTGAGATCTTGATTAGAAGGATAGCTATATGTGATATATCCAGAAGTGGTGAGAGAAGCAGTAAACATAGTAAGGGGCTGTGGTAAGAAGATGCTTTTACCAAATATAGAACACCTCTGGCACAAAAAAAACAAAAAAAACAGGCTAAAAAAACTCCAAAAAGCATGAAAAAAGCAATTTAGTAGTATAAAAGATAGTCAGGGAGTAATATATTGCACAACCTATATAAAAGTTAATGCCGAAATACAGCAAAAGCACGGTTCTGAGTTACTGGCTTGTAGTAGTAATTAAATAAGATACATAACTTCTGTCTTAAGGATCTAGACTTCTGTAATACTATACTAATAGGGAGTAC